CAATGCCAGGGAAAATGGACGAAGGAAATAAATAGCTTATAGCTGTCTGCTCCATACTGGGTTCCAGCCTGGGCCCTCTGTGTTGCCCATCATCTCCTTACTATAACCTCAGGAAGCAGAAACGACCCTATTCTAAAAATGTGGGAACGGGCTGGGGAGTAAAAATTACTTGTCCAGGGTCAGGTGGCTTAGACTGAAACCCAGGCCTGTCTGTCTTCAAAGCCTCTGCCCTTTCTATACTGCCTGATAGGAAGAAGGGGCTGAGGCTCCCCAGAAGGCAGGAGGACCTGTCAATGCCATTCCCACGGGAGCAGACAAGAGGAGTGAAGGGGCGGACCAGTAGAACTGATCACAGGAAGCTAAGCTCCCTTTTGGACGGTGAGGATGGTTGGGGCTCAGGGGCGACTTTCCTGGTGCTTAGTCTCAGGAACCAGGAGTCCCAATGGGTTCTGCACAGAGCAGCCCAAGTCTTGGTGTCAATTCCATTCCTGAGGATAGGGGTGGGGCCTGAGGAAGAGGCTACCAGGACAGATTGTCAGGGACAGGATGGGCAATGCCATGGCTCCATGCCCCTCAGCCCCACCTTCCAGGGGCTTGAGTCCACAGGCTGGGGCCCAAAATGACATTATTTGCCTGACAAGACACTGATCTGGGAACATCTATGCCTGGGAGGGGTGGGGATGAGCAGGGAGGTTCCTACTCAGTAGCCCTGCACATAAAACCTGTACGAAGGACCCACAAACATGCATGATCACATGAGCTGGTCTGCCATCTGTGTGAGGGTCTAAGGCACAGCCACCCCACGGTGGGGCTTTAACTTGCTCCTTCCTACCTTGGACAGGAGCCACTTCCAGCCTCCCCAGAGTGAAGCAGTCTTTGTTCAGGAACAGGGATGGGGAGGGCTGCCAAGGGGGGCAGAGTAAACTTCTGTCCCCCTCCCTAGCCATAGCAGCCCTCCCAACCTAGCCAGGGAACCCAAACACAAGTGGAGGATAAAAAGAGAAAAAATACGCACTTGACTGACCATGACTCGGAGCACGTTAGGGGCTAAGAGCAGGGTCACGGTGCTGCAGACAATGGCAATGCTCGTAGGAAGCACCGGCATGAACGAAGAGGCAGCTCGGGCCTGGCAGTTGCCCCAGGCCCCATCTACCTCTCCAGGGCTGAGAAATCTGTCCCGTAGGCCACCCAAAGCTCAGCAATGTGCCATGGCCCTGGGAGGAGTTGGGGAGGCCTCTTGGAGGGAGCTGGGTTGAAGTTGGGGGCTGAGATAAGCAGAACAGCTGGGAATGGCAAAAGCAGGGAGTGGGGGTGGGCGTGGGGGGCTTGGCCTAGGTCTGGACAGAGCCGAAGATGCTGGCTATAGGGTGGCGAGTGTGGCTGGCGGGGCCGGGGACACCAGGTTCTGCAAGGCAAGGGAGCTTGGGCAGAAGCCAGAGCTTGTCTGGGGGTGTGGATGCCCAGCCCACCAGCAGTTAAACCCAAGTCCCAGTGGATCAGCCCAGTCATGTGTGGTGATGCAGGTGTTTCCCTCAGGGCCCCCGGGCTCGGGGCTGGACTTCACCTTCAGGCACTGGGGAGCCACAGAAGGCTTTTTAGTGGGGTTCCAGCCTGGATACCAGGGACATTAATCAAAGTAGAGGAGGCAAAGAAAGGGGATGAGTGGGGGTGGCCACTGCACTGGTCCAGGTGGGGAAGGTGAGGGAGAAAGGGGCTGGGGGGGCAGGGGTGGTGACAAAGGAAGGGAGGGACACGAGCAATGTCACAAGTAGAACTGAGCTGGAGGACCTGGTGACAGATTAGACATGAAGCGTGAAGGAGAAGGGAGAGCCAAGAGAGACTGCAAGGTTTCCGGCCCCGGGCTGGAGGACTGGGGGGAGCGGAAAGGCGAGGAGGGGCCGCAGGAGAGGGTTGGCCTGGCTAGAGCAGGCTCAGGCGTGCATGTATGTGAACACATGTGCTCCCAGGCAGCCGCCGAGCCCAGCCCCGCGGCCTCTGTGTGGAGCAGGGGCCCCCCCGCCCCAGGCTGGAGGCAGCTCCTGCCTTTGAGACTACAGTGGCTTGCATCTGCAGGTCTGGGGCCCAGGCAGCCCCAGGCAGGACGACGTTATGGACGACAGGAGGGCTCCTGGCCCCGCGCTGAGGCCAGAGCCGGCTGCTCTGAGGAACCCGCCGTGGCTCCTGGCTGGGGGTTTGGAACCTGCATCAATGCCAATCCCCAGTTTCCTGAGGGAAGCCCCTCCCAACGTGGGCAAGGGGAAACGGGCAGGCCCATCAGAGGACCAGCCCTCTCCTGGGGACACCCAGGGGGCCCTGAAGTCCAGCTCAACCCATCCCCAAGGCAAAGGGAGAGCAGGGTATCTCTTAGCCCTAAAGAATTAGGACATCCTTCCCCTAACCAACTGCTCTAGTCCAGGGGCAAGGGATGGACAGAGGGGTCCAGGACCAGGTCTGAAGATGGGGGTGGGGCCTGAGGAAGAGACCCCCAGGACAGATTGCTGGGGTCAGGATGGGCAATACCACAGCTTAGTGCCCCTCAGCACCACCTTCCAGGAGAGCCAGCCTCATGGACCCCTCTCCTTAGGAGGGCAGAGATCTGTGGGACGGGGCAACCAACAGGTGTGAGCGGCCCACAGGAGCGGGGAGGCAGGGGCCAGCTGTGTGGCTGGGTATGAAAGGGAAAAAGCCGTGGGACAGTGTGTGTGTGTGTGTGGGGGGGTGAGTGTGCTGAAGGGACAGGCTTTTGTGTGAGGCGGTGACAGAGGGTGGGCCCTCGGCCCGGGCTGTAGGAGGCTGCAGTCCTGCCGGCCCTGACGCCCTCTGCCGCCCGACTGGCCGTCCCTCCCTCAGCCCCTCACACACACACACAAACACACACACACACACACACACACACACACACACACACACGTTCTTCACTGGCTGCCGTTGCCGAGGGGATGATGGGTGGTGTGGGAGGAGGTGCGGGAGGAGCTGGGGTCATCTCAGGGCCAGCCTGCCTGGGCACGTGTGCCCAGAGCCTGTGCGGGACGGCAGTAGGGGGCCCCGGACAAGGAGAAGGGCCCCTGCATGCCCTTCAGAGGCTCCTCCCACAGGCCTGGGAGTGGGTGCCCGGAGGCCGCCTCGGCTCCAGGGCGGCCCTGCGGCACTGGTGCCCATCTGCTAGCTCCCCGGGCAAACCGTGGACCAGGCCCCAACAGGTGCCCCAGCAACCCGGGACGCAGGTCCCCTACTCCATGACCTTCCAAGGAATCCATGTGGCACCCCCCAGATGGCACCCGGACTCACCAGCACCCATCACCCCCTTATCCTATCCACACAGGCTCACCTGTGCAACTGCTCACAACCGCCACACAAGCGCATCGGGCCACACACACAGCAAGGGTGCACACACAGCCAGCCCCCGTCGTCACCAGGGCACGCATGCCAACCCACAGCCCTCACACGTGCTCACGTGGGCAACATGCAGATATGGCCACACAGCCTTCTCACACACAGCCGACTCAGTAAACATTTCCTGGGCGCCTACTTGGTATCTGGCAACACCTCCCCTGTGTGAAGAGCATGAACACCCCCAGTTCACCATGATCAGCTCACCCACCCTGCACCCCCTGAGGGTTGTACACACAACCTGAACACGGATATGTGTGCAATATGAACACACACCCAGCAGCACTGCAGCCTCCCAGCTCGATCAGGATTAAAACGGGAGGTCATGGGGCAGGAGGGTTTGTTAAAGTGAGGATTTGGCGGGGGTTGATGGGGTGTTGGAAAACGGATGGGGTCGAGCAGAGGGAGGACTGAGGGGGCAGACTGGGGAGGGCAGCCAGGCAGAATGGGTGCAGAATGTGCTACGCAGAGACCCTTTAAAGAAACAGCCATCAGCCTCAATCATCAGGCTGGTCTCAGCTCTCACTCATTGATCTCCAATCAGTCTGGATTCACATCTCAGGAACCCCAACACTCCCTTCTGACCCCTAGGATTAACAATGGCCTGGCCAGGCTGGGAGGTGTCCCCCAGGTTCTCAGGGCAGCAAGAATCAAGAATTGCTAGGGTGAGCCTCATGCCCCCTTGATCACACAAATGACCCCCCCATACACACATAAGCTCAGCTCTGCTAAGTACATGGATGGGGTGGGGGGCGGAGATCAGGAGGCCCTAACAACTCAGCCTAGGTGGAAGCTCAGGGAGAGCAGACAAAGGATGCAGGGGAACTCCCCCCACCCCAAGGGAGGTGGGCTGAGAGCTTAGTTACCAAGCAGGTTAGGGTGGCCAACGGGACATGAAGGGAGGAGGAAGGGCGGTGCAATGAAAGGGAGAAGGGAAAGCGGCGGCGGCCCCACGGTACACAACTCTGGCCCCCCACGCACCAAGGAGGCTGGGAGCCACAGCCCTGGCCAGGGGCCACGGGCCTTTGACTGTGCGGGCTGCAAGGGCTGGGGGCTGGTGTATGCGCCTCCACGCCTGAGTGTGTGCGTGTGCGAGCGTGTGGCGGGGACAGAGGAGGACACTGTGTTCTGGACGTGGGCAGAGGCCAGGTGCCAAGTCGGAATTGTGAGTAGCTGTTTGGGTCAGATGCTACCGGAAGAGGCAGGTATCTTAAGCCCCCTCCTCATTTTCCTGGGCACTGGGATGTGGTCAAAATCCTCTAATCTGTGACCCTCAAAGTCAGGCTCCCCCGGGCGTTGATTCAAACCCCTGACTCTGCTCTGGGGCCGGGCAACCAGCAAACTTCCCCCGCCCGGAGGCGTGGAGCGTTTACACTCGCCAGCCCCGCGCGCTGACAGCTGCTCCAGCACTTGGCAGAACCCAGGCTTCCGGGGAAGCGCGCGGGGAAGCTGCGCAGCAGCAAGAGGCGGCCCCCGCGTCCCGCCTCGCAAAGTTTGGCCTCCGGGGGCTTCCAGCCGGGTCCGCCAGCACGGGTCAGGGACCCCCAGAGCAGCGAGCGTTCGCGCGCACAGTCCCCCGCAAGCCTCCCCAGAGCGCGCGCGTGACTCACCCGAGCCGTGGAGCCAGGTGGTGAGGACTATGCCCAGGAGCGCTGGCCACAGGCCGGGCCGGACGGCCATGGCCGCGGGCGGGCGGTTGAGCTAGCTGGCCGGCCGGGCGCGGGGCCCCGCGGGCGGGAGGGCGGCTTTCAGCGCCTCAGCCCAGAGCCCCAGCCCGGGGCGCCCCCGGGGCCCATGCCAGCGGACTGCGCTGCCTCCGGGCGGCCGGCTGCGGGGCGCACGCGGCGCGTGGCTCCCCTGGGCACCGGGAGCACAGCAATGCAGCCGGGGCGGAGCGCAGCGCCAGCCGCGCGGCGAACCGAGCCAGCCGCCGCGCGGAGCCCGCAGCCGGGTAGCGGGCCGGCGGGCGCCGCAAAACCCGGACTGGAGCAGCGGAGCGGGGCGGTGGCAGGGCGGGGCGGGGGAAGGAGGGAGGGGCCGGGCCGCCCCACGCAGCGCGCGCGAGCCACCCCCAGCTCCGGGGATCCCTCCCGGCGATGCCCGAGGCTCCCCCGGGGAGGGGTTGGGGTGGTGGGCGGGGAGGCCTCCCACCGCCCCGCGCGGTCTCCAGGGACAGGGCCTGGAGTCCGAAACCCGGAGTGGATCGGTTCTCCGGATCCGGGCTCTCCCAGGCCAGCCAGCCCGCGTACAGGTGGCCCGGGAGGGGCCCAGGGCTGCGGCGACCCCGGCGCGGAGCCAGCCTGCAGAGAACGGCCTGGGGCAGGGGTGCCCGGGGCAGGTTCCGCTGCAGTCCTCTCCCCCCACCCCACCCCACTCCCCGCCTCCCGGCAGTGCTCCGAGGCCGTCAGCGTGCTGCGGTACGCCACCAGCCCGCGGCTTGGATAGGGGACTGCGGGAGAGCGCCCGGCTCCGGCCCTCGCGCAGAGGCGCTCGGGCAGGCCAGACTCAGGGCCACCCGTAGTCCCAGCCGTGTAGCCTGGTGGACCCCAGTGTGACCCAAGATTTCTCTAACCCCGTGGCGCCTTTAGCTTAAGGAAAACAAACCCCAGGGCACAGCGTGTCTAACTGGGCGCGCGGTGTTTGCGCCCTGAGCGCGCACGACGCCAGAGACGTGGCGTGAAGGACTGAGCCGGGCTTTGTAAGCTATGGAGACCCGGGGTAGGGTCTAGGCGCCTCCACCTTCTAGCTCTGTGACCTTGGGCAAGTCACGTCGTCTCCCGGAGCCTCCGGCAATGACCGCTGCTGGAGTCTCCTGCTCCCCACCCCCATTCCCTAATCTGGTTAAAGTAAACAGAGGGTTGCCTTGAAGGAGAAAGGAAATGACAAACGCGCAACATGTACACAGGGCGAATGGTCAGAAAAAGAGAGGGTCCTACTCTGGGTCTGGAGAGGGATGAGAAGGGTGAGGGCAGGGTCGCAAACTAAACCGCCTACAGAGACCAGTCCATAATATAAATTGGCGCTGCCCGCTGCGTGATACAATAATGGTCTGTGCTTCCACAAAGAGATATGAGCTCTCCTATATTTCTTGAAACCACGAGGCCCTCTCTCGGTCTGTCTTTTGTTTCCCACTTTTGATAGAGAAGGGTTGTGAGAAATGTTTTGCTTTTCTCTTAACTGGTATAAGAACCATCAGCCATACACTTGTATGGACGCTGGGCTTCAGCGCCAGGGAGGCAACGCAGCGCCGGAGACTGGGGGGCATAGGATCCCATTGCAGGGGGCAACTGGCTCTTCTACTCCAGGTGCCAGTTGGTGTCGAACTGGGGCCCAGTATGGCCATATCGTCCAAATTTCCAAGAGAAGCCATTGTATGAGAAATCTTGGGATTTAAAATTTTTAACTAAAACATAATTTTTATTTTCTTTTATTTTTTTTTACCTCATGGAAGCCCCAATGAAAATGTCCACAAATGTCCAACAGCTTCCAGTTTTTGAACTCTGCTTTGGTGATTGCTTGTATGTAGGCTGTGTCTACCTGATCTACCCAACTGGAGTGTGTGTGTGTGTGTGTGTGTGTGTGTGTGTGTGTGTGTGTTGCCAGGAACAGCGTATGCCCAGGCTGCTCCTTCAGACACTATGCCTCACTGCGCTCTGAGGGAAGAGGTGGGTAGGAGAGGTGAAACCTTACTAGGTCCATCATTTGGGGCACCTGGTAGAAGAGAGGTAGTTAGGAACTGGGGTTTAGGCACTGAAAAGAATGAACTACTGGGATTGGGGGCTGGGATATAAGATATAATGGTCTCTGCTGGACTCTGCTATGTCCTTGCCTACATTTATAATTTGATCCTCACACGCAATCCTGTTAAATGAACATTATCATCCCCATTATACAGATGAGGTAACTGAGACTTAGGGAAGGGAAGTGCCTTATGTCCAGGGCCAACCTTATTCAATGTTTACGGGGCTAGCTAAGATTGGTCTAGGGGGGCTTTGATTTCAATGTCCATGCTCCTTACATTTCCTCTTCCTGCAGTTTTTGCTCTGGGATTAGAATTTGGGAATAAGGCTTGGGGAACAAGAAAGGAAAGGTTCTCAATCTCTCTTCAGTCCTCTGCTGTGTTCACTTCGCTGGCCTCCTTCAGCTAGAGTAGAATGATCTGTGTAGCAGTCAGGATAGATTAGATTATGTCATGGTAACAAACAGTCCCCAAATCTCAGTGGCTTCCATCAACAAAGATTTATTTCTCATTTGTTCATCATGGGTCTACTGCTCCAGATTATCCTCCATTGAGGACCCAGGCTGACAAAACAACCACTCTCTGGAACATCGTTGGTCAGTGGGACAGAGGAAAAGAGAGCTCTGGGGGTATACCCACCAGCAATCAATGGCTCAGCCCTGCAGTGACACATACCACTTCCACTGACAATTCATTGGCCAGAACCAGCCCCATGGCCCCATCCAAAGGGCCAAGAAGTGCACTTCTCCTCCATGCCAGCAGCTGAAATATGAGGAAAGAGGAAAGTAGCATTAATGATGACCACTGCCTCAAAGCCCAGCATGATTGGGCCCCTGCCTACCTCTGCGACCCTGCTTAGGCCCTAGCCATGGTGGCCTCCCTTCTGTTTCTCCAGCATCCAAGCTCATCCCCACCTCTGGACCCTCCCATTTGCTTTTCTTCCTGGGACACTCTGTCCCCAGATCTTCACATGGTTGCTTCCTTTTAGCCACTCAGGCCTCGGCTCAGCGGTCCCCTTCCAACTGGTACTCAGGGCATGTCAGGAAAAGGAGCAGGGATGCCCTTGCAGAGACGGAGCATAAATGTCTCACCTGAATTCTGCTTAAGAATCCAGGTTGGAAGGCTGCCAGGAAGTGCTTGTCTCAGGCTCAAAGGTAGATGGTCAGATAGGAGGGCTCCTAACATCTTTAACCTTCTTTGCCTTTGAGCCTCAGACTCAAAGGGAAGGAGAGGCCAGACTCTGCCTAGGCTGGACCCTCCAATGAGTGTCTGTGGCCCCCTTGCAATATCCCAGTGACTGTGCATAGGTTTCACCTCCCACTGCTCTGCTGGCCAGGGATTTCTCCTCACTAGGCAGCAAGAATCTGCCCCTCATTGGATTCACATTCTGGGGCCTCCTCAAAGCTGTCTCCCCCTGCCCCCATGTTCATTTCTGTTATTCAGAAGACTCTTACTTTTTTTTTTTTTTTTTTTACTTCAGAAGACAAAGTCTGGGTCTATCATGAATTTTCTCCCTTTAGACCAAATAGTTCTGCTTCTGTTACTGGCATAGCAACAGAGCCCTGGGGCCCTATCCTTGCCACCCTGGCTCCCTACTGCAAGTGCTCCCCACCAAGGCTGCTCCTCTGAAGTCATCTCTTGGAGGGAATTGGCACATCTCCTGCCCATGTGGCCTGATGCATTAGTAAGGTCCCAATCAGCTGTTGGTGCCCACTGGATGGGGGGCCCTCTAAGCCTATGTGAGGCCATCACTGACTTGGAGATGTACCAGAAGGTCCTGTGATGCTGGATAAGATGCACATCTTCAGGCCCTGCCCATCCTGATTCGGATTCAGTATCTCTGGGGACGTGTCTAGGAATCTGTGTTTTTACCACCCATTCTGTCTCCCTCCCAGCTATTTCTACTGGTGCCAGTGGTCTGAAGACTCCACTTTGGGCAACACTGCCTGGTGTCTTTGCCATAGGCACTGCCAACAGCTGGATGTTCCCCATCCACCCTTGGGACACTGGCTTTCTGAATTTAAGTGCAGAGACTTCAGTTCATCCCAGTTCTATTCCATTGTATTACATCTAATCCCTCTTTCCTATATGGAGCCCTCTCAGGATGTGGAAGCTGTCGGGCAGAGTACTTGCTATTTTCTTCAGCTTCCTGTCATTCCCAGATGAGATTGGAAGCCATAGATTCTTTCAACCAAGTCCATCATAAACAGGTTGCTGAGGGCAGGACCAAGGAGAGAGCCTAGTGGCTCCCCTCCAGACTACCTTGTCAGTTGCACTAGGGCAATGTATCAATATCTCTTTCATCCACCCAGGAAACCTCTGGCCACACCATCCTTCAGCTCACATTTCACTGCTACATCCACAAAACAAACAGACTCTACAGAGCCGCAGATTCATGAGCTTTGTCCTAATCTACCAGGCCAATAACTGAAACAAGAAATTAGTTCGGCGGGCTGGACTTGCTCTTGGTGACCCCACATTGGCTCTTTATAGTCCCTGCCTTGATCCAAGCATCCCTATTTGCCCACTGCTCAGCATCCAGCTTCGGTCTTCTGGAAGCAGCTGCTTCCCGTCTTTCCTTCGAGGAATCACCCTTCCCCACCATCAGTGTATGAGATTCATGTGGGGGTACCCCACCCCAGTTCCAGAGGACAGCACATGCTTCAGGCCTAACCACTCGACATCCACTATTTCTTGAACCACAGTGATTCACTTAGAGATGGACATATGACCCAAACCAAGTGCTCAGGCTCTTTTCTGGGATTTGTGTTAGAACTAAGGAGAGAAAGAATTTCTTTTTTTGCTGAACTTGGAGCAGAAAAAGAGGAGATCTTGGAGCTGCCACCGTGAGGAGCACATGCCTGAGACTGAGCCTGGGCAGGAAGAGCTGAGCCTGGAGAAGAGAGACACTGAATATTGGTTCATCATTCAAGCCCCCTGG